TATTATTATTATTATTATTATTATTATTATTATTATTATTATTATTATTATTTGGCTCTAGGGGATAAATAAAGTTATTTGAATTGAACTAAAATACCCTAAACTGTCCAACTGAAAACTTTTCAACAAATCCGTTGGCTTGCTGAGCCTGACTCCAATCTAAACTGAAAGCATTTGGGCTTTAAACTGTTTGGGTTGACTACTACAAGCGAAGTTTGGAAAACAATAGGCATTAAAAAAATATAGAATAATAAATTCTGTCATTTTATTGTCAAAATATTTTTTCTTTGTCTTATATGAAAACAATCCACAGCTGCAGCTTTTACTCAGATGCTAGTGTCTAGCCGGGCTTCTCTCACCTGTACTCCGTGGTGTAGAGCAGGCCGCCGGCTGCGCCCTCAGGCGGCTCCCACCGCAGCACCAGGTCCATGTTGTGGGAGGTCAGGTGGACGTTGGAGGGTCCACTGAGCAGCTGTGATACTACTGTACAGTGGAAATCCAAACACAAGCTCACTGTGATACGTTATACATGCTGTTGTCCCTCTTACTGAAGTAAACACATACACAACACTCAACTCTGTCATTTTTATAGCCATTTAAGATATAAGAGGTTTATGATTACTTGGACGTGTATAGGTAACCAGCGGATCAACCTTCAAGCCACAAAAACAATGGATTCCAAATCAGTTCACAGACATTTACTTGAAATTGGTATCCCAAAAGACAAATAGCCTTGAAGCAAACTCGTTGAAAAGATGATTGAACTAACAGCAACCTGAAGTATCGGAGGGAGCTCATTGGAGCAGCGAGGACAGGTCCTCCTAAACTCAGTAACAGTAAAAAACATACCTGTGGTGCCACAGAGAGCTGAAACCACGAGGACAACAGCACAGATATCAGACATATTCTCCGAAAGCCTCGAGGTCCAGAGTGTGATGTGTTCCAGCTCAACGCTGCACTGCTTCCTGGTAGCAGCGGTGGGCAGGAGGCGGGGAAGTCCGCGGAACCGAAACTCTGGTCTGCGCTCAAACGAGGCAGGCTTCAGAGAAACAGCCTGTCCTTTGGCTTGGTGTCACATTTCCTGTGCAAATCACATTAATAACAACAATGATAATTGCTGTATTTAATTATACCAAACGTCTGGTTGGAAAGCCCAAAACGTCTTTGAACTGTTGAACTAGTGACAAGCTTTTATTTCACAGTTATTAGCACTACTGTACTCCTGTGAACACTCAAAGCCATACACTTGCATAAATGGGGATGGATCTGTGCCTTGCTGGAGTTTTATCACAGAGTTCTGCGCTGACTCACTCTATGACTGTTCTGAGCAGCAGACAGGTGTACCTGCCCTCTACAGGTGGACTCAGGTCAATTCCAGACAGGGGCGGAGCTACTGGGGTGGCAGAAGACGCCTTGCCACCCCTGCTGCCGCCCCAGTTCCGAACGATCTAATTCAAAAATACATGAAAGGTTGTTGCCAGCCGGAAAGAGCGAAGTCCGGATATGACGAATAACGAGTGAAGCTCTGAAATCCGAGTGCTGTCGAATGCACCATGAAGACGTACCCGTTCCACGAGCGCCCGTGAGGCTGCTCATAGTCCACCTCGCTCAGGTGGACCACAGTCGGACTTCGACGTGGCCAGCAAGACGTGAAAGTCAGACAGCAGTCAGACTGGGTCAGGCCACACGGTAGTATTACTGTACACTATATAGTAAACGCTGATAGTGTCTAAGTTCACATGAAGTGTCACATAATGGCGAGCCACGGTGTCCAGTGATAACCTGTGGTTCTGAAAACAGACTGTAAGTCAAAAGAAATCACATTCACTCAGACTTTACATGACATTAAAGTGTAACTAAACCTCCACTCACATCAGGTTTTCATGAAAACTACATTCTGTTGGTTTAATGCTGGCTTTTATAAATTTAGTGTCAATGTCATAACAACAGCATTGATGTATTTCGTCATAGTACAGTCATATAGTTGAGTTTATGGCTCAAACAACATGTTTAAGTGTTCAGTACCTCTTTAAGTTTGAAAATGGTACACATAAGAATGTGTCATAGTTTGTAATGACGACTATCAAAGGAAAAACACAGTTAAGTCTGTGTGAATCTTCTAGGAGACTATAAAGAATGAAGAGGAAGGGTATTATCACCAGCTTTCTCCAAACTAAAAGAAGAGAGCAGGCAGAACATCACAGAGACGAGATGGAAGAGGAAGAGCAGGAAGAACATCATAGACAGGAGATAGAGGAGGAAGAGAAAGGAGAAGAAAATGAAAGTCTGCAGAGCTCAAACAGTGACAGAGGAAATGAGAGGCCCGAAGCTGTCAGAGGCTATCTCTTGTCCAGTTGGTCCACATGGTATGAATATTGCTCTCGTATTATACGTCTGAGTAAGAAGTACACCTGTTGCAATAGTTCAGTTAAACTTCAGTTAAAACTGTTATCTCCAACACAAAGACAACAGCTGAGTCCAATATCAAAACAAACCAATATACACATGTTGACACAATTGTTGGTACCCCTCAGTTAATGAAAGAAAAACCCACAACAGTCACAGAAATAACTTGACTGACAAAAGTAATAATAAATAAAAATTCTATGAAAACTCACCAATGACAATCAGACATTGCTTTTGAACCGTGGTTTAACAGAATTATTTTAAAAAAATAAACTCATGAAACAGGCCTGGACAAAAATGATTGTACCCCTAGAAAAGGCTGAAAATAATGTGACCATAGGGACATAATCAATCACAGTGTGTCCTCTAATTAGCATCACAGGTGTCTACAAACTTGTGATCAGTCAGTTGGCCTATTTATAGGGTTACAAGTCGTCACTGTGCTGTTCGGTGACATGGTGTGTACCACACTAAACATGGACCAGAGGAAGCGAAGGAGAGAGTTGTCTCAGGAGATCAGAAAGAAAATTATACACAAGCATGCTAAAGGTAAAGGCTATCAGACCATCTCCAAGCAGCTTGATGTTCCTGTGACTATAGTTGCACATATTCAGAAATTTAAGACCCATGGGACTGTGTGCATGTATAGATCCTGATGCTCTGGCAATCGTTGAGATTCAGGTTTTCTCAGCTTCCGCATCTCTCAGGTACTCTTGATGATTGTCGGCCCTGTTTTCCCACAAAAGTCGTCAGATCGTCTCTGCTGTGTGTTAGTACAGGTGTAGATACATTGTGGTGTATTTGTTTTCTTTTGTTTTCTTCTACTTTCCTTTCACTCTTTCTCGCACTTCTTTGGACTGTACACTTTTCTTTTTCCTCTTTCAGGTGCAGCAATATGACATGTAATTCAGTAAGAATCCAGCATCCAAAATAAATGAACGAAATAAAATAGAATGAATACATACATAAATAAAGGAAAATCAGACTATCAAGAGGGGCCTTATATTTGTAAAGCTCCCCTCGGCAAAGTAAATCTGTTCAACAGCTATGATGCTGGACCGGACACGTTTAAGAAAAAAAAAAAAAAGACCCATGGGACTGTAGCCAACCTCCCTGGACGTTGCCGCAGAAGGAAATTTTTTTTGGTCTTTTTGCCTTTATTTGAGAGTGCACTTGAGAGAGACATAGGAAAGGGGGGCAGAAGAATGGGGGGAAAGACCTGCGGAAAAGGGCCATGAGCGGGATTTGAACTCATGACATCGCAGAAGGAAAATTGATGACAAATCAAAGAGACGGATAATACGAATGATAACAAAAGAACCCAGAACGACTTCTAAAGACATTAAAGGTGAATTCCAAGGTCAAGGTACATCAGTGTCAGATCACACCATCCATTGTTGTTTGAGCCAAAGTGGATTTAATGGGAGACGACCAAGGAAGACACCATTGTTGAAAACAAATCATAAAAAAGCCAGACTGCCAAACTGCATGTTGACAAGCCACAAAGCTTCTGGGAGAATGTCCTATGGACAGACGAGACAAAATTGGAATTTTTGGCAAAGCACATCCGCTCTATGTTCACAGACACAAAAATGAAGCATATCAAGAAAAGAACACTGTCCCTACTGTGGAACGTGGAGGAGGCTCTGTAATGTTCTGGGCCTGCTTTGCTGCATCTGGCACAGGGTGTCTTGAATCTGTGCAGGGTACAATGAAATCTCAAGACTATCAAGGTATTCTAGAGAGAAATGTGCTGCCCAGTGTCAGAAAGCTTGGTCTCAGTTGCAGGTCATGGGTCAGAACACACAGCTAAAAACACCCATTTTTTGCTGCTGCTTTATCACAGTAATTTCCTAGGCCTGGGATGAATAAAGTATATTTCTATTCTATTCTATTCTATTCTATTCTATTCTACCCAAGAATGGCTAAGAGGAAAACATTGGACTATTCTGAAGTGGCCTTCAATGAGCCCTGATCTAAATCCTATTGAACATCTGTGGAAGGAGCTGAAACATGCCGTCTGGAGAAAGCCTTCAAACCTGAGACAACTGCAGCAGTCTGCTCATGAGGAGTGGGCCAAAATACCTGCTGAGAGGTGCACAAGTCCCACTGACAGTTACAGAAATCATTTGATTGCAGTGATTGCCTCAAAAGGTTGTGCAACAAATTAATAAGTTAAGGGTGCCATCATTTTTGTCCAGGCCTGTTTCATGAGTTTATTTTTAAAAAATAATTCTGTTAAACCACGGTTTTCATTGGTGAATTTTCATAGAATTTTTATTTATTATTACTTTTGTCAGATTCAAGTTATTTCTGTGACTATTGTGGGTTTTTCTTTCATTAACTGAGGGGTACCAACAATTTTGTCCACGTGTCTATGTGTGTTTATACACTGATGATAAATGAGGCCCCAGGACTCCATACACCTCTGAAAGAGTCCTGTGGTATCAGGCACCAAGATGTTAGCAGCAGATCCTTAAAGTCTTGGAAGTTGAGAGGTCCGAGATCTGGGGAATTTCAAGGCTTTGTCAACACCTTGAACTGTTTGTCATGTTCCTAAAACCATTCCTGAACAAGTTTGAACAGTGTGGCAGCATGCATTGTCCTGCTCAAGAGGCCCTGCCATCAGGGAACACCACTGCCATGAAGAGCTCTGCGTTGTCTCCAACAGTCTTTAAGTAGGTACGATTTGTCAACATAACATTGACATACAGTTGAAACCAGAAGTTTACATACACTGTATAAAAAGACACATACCTTTTTTTCCCTTCTCACTGTCTGTCCTGTTGTAGGTCAGTTGGGATTACCAAAATTATTTGTATTTACTAAATGCCAGAATAATGAGAGAGAGGTTTTCTTTTTAGAGTTTTTTTCCCTTAAGTAATCTTAGTGTATGTAAACAGAAATTTACATACATTAAGATTACTATGAAACCCAAAACGTTTGACCCAAGTCATACAGTTTATAGGCAACGTTACCAAATACTAAGGAAATGGATGTAAACTTCTGACTTTGAAGAAAGAAATAACAAATTCTCTAAAAAACTCTCTCTCATTCTGGCGTTTAGCAAATAGAAATCATGTTGGTAATCCTAACTGGTCTAAAACAGGAAAAATTTAGTCTGATTTAATGTCAGACCGTGAGAAAAAAAAGGTTTTATGTCTTTTTGTACAGCGTATGTAAACTTCTAGTTTCAACTGTAAATGCAGGAACCAAGATTTCCCTGCATAACATTATTCAGAGCATCACACTAGCCCCGCTGGCTTCCCTTGTTCCTGTCCATTGCCATTTTTTTTTTCAAGCAGAAAAAAATATTATTTTATGATAAGTCCATCCATTATCTATACACTGCTTAATCCTCACTTGGGTCGTGGGGGGCTGGAGCCTATCCTAGTCGACTTAGGGCGAAGGCAGGGGACACTCTTGACAGGTCACCAGTCTTTTATGATAAGTGCTAAAGGGAAATTTCTTTTTTGATTATTATATGCTGGCATGTGTCAGTGATAAACATTGACTCTGATGCATTATTACCTTTTCTGCAGTGTAACATTAAAAAAAGGTACACTCAGGACCTTAAGAACAAAAATGTCCCATTGAACCCATTATAACTGCTGTTTTTGATCCCTCTGCTATTATATCATGAAATCCTGCATTCTGTGTAATTAAGATTTCATTGTGGAGCTATGGTTTCAAAATTGCTGATCACTGATGTGCTTATAATCAGATCTAACAATGGAGCTCTATGGCACAGAGGAATACACATGCGTGTTAATACAATGCAAATCTTTTCTATTTTATTCACTTCTCTCCTGCTGCCTTAAAAATGTATGTTAATTGCACTTCAGTTGATTAATAAGTTCAGAGTCACCATATGAGTGTGAAGTGTGAAAATGTATGTAGTTGAGTTATTGGAACTAAAAAGATGAAGTTTCAGTAAGTCATATAGACAATGGTTACAGACAGGCTTGCATTCCTGTTATGTTTTCTAAATTAAAGAGTTTGTTGCATTTAACATTGAGAACTTCAGGCCTCAGTCATTTTCTTTACAGTGCAAGGATATTCTGGTTGTAGTGACATAAGTAAAAGTCTACAGGTGAAGTCAGTACAAACCTTTCTCATGGTTAGACCTGCTTTTATTATTATGAAAAGCCATGAAAATTAAACAAAAATTAGTTGTTTTTAAAGTCACGGTTGTTTAAGACTTAAATTTATTTTAATCTGTTTCTCCAAACTAAAAAAAAGCAATGCCTCCTGGTTAGGTTAGTTTATATGCTAGTTGTGTTTCTCATTAACTTAATGAGTGAAGTGAACTCTTCGCTGTTCATTCATTCAACTCACCATTGCCAAAAAAAACCCCTCAAATTTTAAGAGCTCCTCTGTTTTAATTCTAAAGTAATCTGAAAATAAGAATTTGACATTTTAGGTTCAATTAACTAGAAATGAGCAAAGTCTACATATTTACAATAAGTGAACTAACAAATCTAAGTTGATTTTACTCAATTCCTTGATAATGTTTAACAGTGTAAGATACAGCCATTGTTGGTTTAAGTGTTTTCATGGGATCTGTTGACAAGAAGAAAGATTTAGAAAACCACTAGATTTATCATCTAAGGATACATCCACTCACTGTGTTATTCATTAGAATTAGAATTAGAATGCTTGTAGAGTCATCATACACAAAGTACAACGAAATTAAACAGTGCATGTAGTGGAGACAATTTGAATCAGCTTTAGTTTGTCACTGGTTCGAGGTTTATCTCCAGATGCCCACAGGGAGTGTTGGCCAGAACACCTCCTGAGGCCAGGTCATGCAGAGAAGAGGAATGAAGACAGCAGGCAAATCAGTTGAATCCCTTTTATTACTGGTGGTCATTGTTTTATCTACACCTCATCGCAATGTATTTAAATTGAATTCAAGAAGGCCACAATCACCTCAGAAACTGTGGATCACAGCTTTTTCTGTGTTTGAAACTATACAGGACAACAACAGCTGTGCAACTGGAACAGAAGCGGGTTGGGCGCACGGAAGTCAAACAGTGTTTACAAATGATTCCGGATATTCTACTTTAAACATATTTCACTTATCTACACAACACGGCTTCAGTAACAACAATTTAGGGACTAGGCAGTTCAACAGCACTATAACCTGAATATACCCATAACTTTGGGGCCTTTTCTACAGCCGCCCTCAAATGTATATGTTACATCTGTGCATTAATAAAGGTCACAAAGTTCTATGGTTGAGCTGCTGGTACAGGTGTAAAACTGTTCTCTTCCTCCTTAGAAGGCAGCGCAGGAAGGACCACTAACCTAGTGACTGGTCACATGTAGGTTCTCTCCTTAATCTTGACGTCAGCTGACCTAATGTGTCCATCAGGGCTATGATGAGTCTTGACCACTTTTCCGATGGGCCAGAGGGCCTGAGGGGAGCACTTCAACGTATACTATAACCTTAATATGCCCATAACTTTGGGGCCTTTCTACAGTGCAAAACCCACTCAATTTACTGTGTTAAACGGCAAAGTAAATACTTACATCAGAGAAGTTGGAACTACAAGATTTTTCACATTTTAGCAGTGCTAGAATGGCTTTAGGCCCACTGGTCCACTACTGTCCTCCAGACTGGCATATCTCAGCAGCTACTGGATGCTGTGAAATTGTGTCATTATTGGTGACCAGAGGATAAATCCTATTGACTTTGGTATCTGATTTTTCCATGAGTACCATCGTAATGCTGACATTTGGGGTTTTTCAGTGAAATCCTTGGATGGCTTACAATGAAATTAGTACTACACATCCATTCCATTAACACACGAAGCAAAAATAGAGTACGGTCAACATTAAATCTAAACTTCAGCATGTTAGTATTCTCATTGCGAGGCTGTTATTTGCTATTTATTTATCAAATACAGTCTCATAGAACTGATGGTTAAACTGTAAGGTAAAGCCTTGATGATACTCCCTTGTGAGCACTCACAATGCTATTTTCTGTTCCACTAGGACAACTCCATTCTATAGATGCTTATCGATGTATCTCATGCATATTGTTGAGCATTGACACTGCTGCTATTGTAGCATAGTTGCCTTGTGGACTGGCCTGCATCATTAAATTTGGTTGTCTTCTATCTCTGTAATTACACATTTTAAATGCTGATTTGAGAAGGTACAAATGTGAACCTGTATTGACATTGATATCATCAGTCAACATGGTAACCACAAAATAACATGACAGCTCTCCAGAAATAAAGTCAGAGTATCTTGATTGCCCCCTGGTGGCTGGTTTCAGCAGTGGTTGTAAATCCCATATTTGGAGTCTCCATATTTGCAGAAGGGACATGAGGAAGTAGCAACCTCTGGGGCTGAAAAATAAAGTCAACAAAGAAGTGCCTAAAACTGCAGTTCCTTGAAGGGCCACATGACTCTGTCTCCAAAAGTGATTTAATCCCCTTAGACCCCATGTTAAAATGGCCAACTTTATTGCAGAAATAAACATATTTACATTTTAGCACAAAAAAAACAAAAAAACCCAAAATGCTTTAGTCTCTGTAACTAAATGTCCTCTTTATGGCAAATGTTTTGGGGGTGAATTTTTATAGAAATCATCTCAACTCATTTCAATCTATTAGGCTTAAAATTCTGAAGTGGCAGGGGGCTGCTGTCATAGGACAGGCTACAGCCCAGAGATGTTTGCATGCCTGCCTCAGCTCCCATCATGCACCACCTCTTTGCTTCTTTGTGGATTAGCTGGGAATCAGGAGGAGTCAGGCACTGCCAAAATGGTGATGATTGAAGCTGCCACACTGAGTTTTAAAATCAGTTCAGGAAACTTATGGATGATGTCACAAAGGATTAATCAATCTTTATATAAAGTCAATGGACGTGAGTCAAATTAAAAAACTTCGAAACTTATCCTAAATGCAGTTTGTCATATTAAGTTCTTCTTATTGTGTCATGTTTACATGTTTGTTTTTCTAATGAGTTTGTTTTTGATGAGTTATTTGTTGGTGTAAGTTTCTATAAAAATAATCAGAGAAGACTAATGTGGATGAAAATGATTTTGAAACAAAAACTGTGTTTTAACATTTAGATGACCTCATGTAGGTGTAGTCTTAGCCTTCACACATGATTAGTAACTTGAACAAATAATCAACATTTTTATATATAAATATTCTGCTGTAGAGTAATGTATTAATCAGTAGATTAATATATTAATCAGTACTTAAAGCTTTATATGGCTAACAATCAAATTGTAATATCAATTCCTTCAGTTATTTTAGAATCCCGCTCCTCAAATAAATGGGTCAGATATATTGATGCAAATATACTCCATGCACATTGAAGTATTTTTAGAGCAAATGTTGATGTGATAATGAACATTTGATTTTACAAGTCGCAGCAGATACAGTTGAATGTGTTACCAGAGTTCTGGGTATGCGCTGTCTTAGTAATTTGAAGCTCAGCTGACTGCCGTAGAGAACCAGCCCCATGAGGAGGAACACCAGCACAGAGAACACACCCACCAGGCTGAAGACCACAGACACTGTGAACGAGAAGCACAGCAACATATGTCAGGTTCCAACACTTGTACTGCTTGGAGTGTCCATGTATACAGAAAGCCCATTACTATTGGAAAGACTAGAAATTCAGTTAGCCACTGCTAATGCAGCATGCTGATCTGAGGATTCTACATCCAGCCTTTCCTGCACATTTATATCTAGGAGGAACTTCTATAATTAAAATAAAGTTTCTTATTCAGCCTTTAGTAATATATAATATAGTAGCAATATAGTACTTTAATATACAGGATGCAGTATGTAACATCACTGTCTTCACCTAGCCGTTACAGACCCTGCACACTCACACTGGTGTTTTCACTTTATAGCTAATCTATAGTTTATAGTATAGAGAGGTTTTAAGCGAGAGGCTCACCATATAAAGAATCCCAAATAGAAATTCATGGCAGAATTTTGTAATGCCTAAGAGGGTGGCAGTCTGATCCACTAGATGCAGATATTAGAGTGCAACTGTCGTTTCATGTGACATTCTCCTCCACCTGCGACATCGACATGTAAGTGGTTTCAAAATCCACTTCACTATGTGAAGCAACGACAGCAAACTTCAGGCAGCAGTCTACATGCTGAAAATCCAAGGTTTTGCCAAGGATTTGGATCGTACTGATTTCATTTGTTGGGGCACCTAAAGCTCACCTATAGGGAGCCCCCTGACTCCCACTATTTCTTTTGTTTTTTTCCATTCCTTGTGTTTTTTATGGTTTAACCTGCATTTGTTAGATTTATACTTTATGAGATTCCAAGATTAAAGAATCCTGTTAAAATGGCTTCAATTTTATCACTAAAACAAGGTGAAATAGCATGTTGCCATACATGTAGAACTGCCATCACATTTCTGTAAGCAGTTGCGCATAATGTCTAAAAGGGCTTTATTAATCAACAGATCAAAGTAGAATACGTACATGAGCTTCTTTGTGAAGGAGGGCTGGTGAAAGCACACTGAGGTTTACTCGGGACAGTATTGGAGTTAAAGATTGATGTGACAGAGACAGTCACACAGTACTCCACACCTGGCTGCAGGTACGTAATCACAGTCTCCTCTTCGTAAGGTAGATTCAGTGTGAACTGAAACACAGCACACAAAGCAGGTTGATTAAGGCAGCAAAAATGGAAGAGTCTGAATGTAAGCATGTCCAGCAAAGAAAGCCACATCAAAATTAACTAAATTAGCTTTTGGTAAGGCTCGCTGTGACTGCAAGTAGATTACGCTTTCTCCTCGGATGGCAATTTTGTGTTCAGATGCTGTTCAACAGTGTACTGAGAGCATGTAGAGACCAGCTGGCCCAGTGTTGGCCAACACTTTCAGCATCTCCTTTGCCCAGTTCACCATCCCTGCACTTCAAGAGGTCCACCATTGTTTGGGTTCTCCAAAACAACTACTCTGCCTGTCTCAATAATCACCAAGCTGTTGCACTTAGGTCTGTAGTAATAAAGTGCTTTAAGAGACTGGTTAAAAAAAACCACAAAAACCAAAAAACATACAAGGTGCAATCAAGAAGTTCAGATACTATGCCCATAAAAAGTAAAAACAGTGCTGGATTTAAGTTTCCAGTCATCAGCCTCTCAGGCCTTTTGTGCACTGAGAAGAGCAGCACCCCTACCACATTCCAAATGCTCTCTGGAAATCCCATTCTGTGAATGCAACCTTTCAATTTAAATGAAATTGTGGGAAAGAGTAAGAAGATGCAGGGAGCCAGATCTGGTGAGAAAGGTGGGTGGAAAGTGACAATTATGTTTGGTTTGTGCAACCAAAAAACCTGGAGCATTTTTAATGCACTATTATTGGACAAGTGTTAGCAAATTGGCACTCGCCGCCAGTTCAAGTTGTTCACGACAGATCTTTCCCTTGAGACGCCTCAGGAAGTTACCGTAGAGCTTGCTTTTGGTAGTCTGTTCCTAGGAAGAAAAATTTACAAGCCTCTAAATGTAAAACAAAACAATGCGCATGCTTTTGGTTGTGTTTGTCATCAAGGACAACTGTACAGTAGTAAGGATTAGTGATGACACAGTCGGCCTGATGTGCTACAATGAGGAGTGGCCTACCTGGAGGAGGTCGAAAACCTAGTGCAATGGCTAACCACTGCTTCCTAAATGTCCGCTAAACGTTTGCCCTTTATTAGTCTTATTTCATTTTCTGTTTGTCCTATCATCTCCTGTTTTTTGATTTACTAACCTGTAACTGGCAAATTATTAGTTACTGCAGCTTTATTTAGGTGGTTTCTCTCCTGGCTCAGTTGTCACTACTTGTCTTGACAACCCATTTCTTTAGACAGATCTACTATACAGCAGCAGAACACAATGAGAAATGCAAAACATGACACATGCTGTAAAAATGACACCAAGTCTGTTAATGCCAGATTTTAGCACAGACAAAACTGCTGTTTTAAAACTTAATGTGAAACCATGACTTTCAAGAGTTTAGCTTCCACTGTTTGGTCTGATAACTTCTTATCGTGTGTACACTGTCAATGACAAGTTTTCCTTTTTGGTTTCTCATCAAACTGAGCGTTTCCTTAAACACAGGAAACTGACAGTGAGAGGAAGACGTGGGCAAAAACCACATTCACTAAAAAACACGTACCATCTGAGATAGGGCCTCTCCGCAAGTATGTTTTACTTCATAATCTGATGAGACTTTCAAAGACTCTTTTCAAGACATATGGTAAAGTTGAGTTGTGGGTTTGCTGTTTTGATTTCTCAGTATTCCACAGTGCTGAGTTTCTTACTAACTAAACACATGTACGCTCAAGAAGAAAAAAACGACAAACATGCAGATGTTGCAGAAATTCTTTGTTGTCTTCGTTGCTGACTGCTTGCTCAGAGGGAGAAAATTAAATTGAACTGAACTGAGTTTAACTTGAAGATAAATAGTGCATGCATCAAATCCTGACAGTCTTTTTTTGTTTTCTTTTTTTTTTTAGCCCTATTGTCATCTCAACGTTTTTAAAAAACGTTCAAACACAAAACCTATGATTGTCAAAACTCTAATCATCAAGGTAATTTGGTCACTTTCCCTTAATTACACTTACCAAAGCACAGATTGAAATTGTAAAAGAACTCATGATTAGATGTGTGATTGAGTTCAATTCTTAATTGGGCTACTTCCAGAAAAACACAAAGTGACCGTAAAAAGTCCGACATGTTACAGTCAGACTTCTATCAGAGCAGGAGACTGAACAAAAGTAAAGGTTATATAAATAATGAGAGCAGGCCCAGACTTACATCAACTGATTTGTGTTTACAAAAAATAATGAGAAAGCTAGTGACAAAAAAATGGAAAATTCTCATTTTATATGAACCTTGATGTTGTAGGTGCCATTTCCTTGCACGCTTCCAACAATACAAAGGTTTGAAGGACACCATTGAGTAGCTATCTAAGAAATGCATGACTCTGTGATTACAAAATCACTTTACAATAAACTGTTTTAGAACAACAATATTTCTGAACATTAACTATAAACCCTTTCTGTGAAGAAAGACCAAAGCAAAAACCTCATGCAAAGGAGGAGGGGAAGCAATGCGCTGTCTGTGACAGGAAACAACAGCGTTCAAACAGAAAGAAGAAAAACAATCTTTTCTGAGATCTTTATGAACTAAAAGTTTTAAGTAGTGGGTCTGATGCACACTAAACATGACCATGGCAGCATCCAGCAATGAGATGACAGCAGAAACTGCATGTTTCATTCCTCTGCAAGTCGGAGACAGCAGTACAAACAATACACTCTTTAGTGCTAGTAAGGGGACATGGCCCCAGTGGTTGCCCATTATTCTAATATACTTAATTTAATGCATTGTTGTTATTTTTTTTGGCCATTTACAAAATTAGCTATAGTTGTCAGTCAAATGTGTTCTGAGTATTTGTCAGGTTAAACTGATATATTTCATGGGTCTGCTGTCTTGCACACAGCTGCTGTAACTTCTCACAGTGACACCTACCAAACCCAAATCAATCAGTTCAGTAGTTACTAATCACAGTCACATACATATATATAGATAGGTTACTGAACAGGCCTACTGGGCATGGGGCTAAAAGCATTGGGAGCTTGTGGACTTCACCTACAAAAATGACCAAATAGCACTCAAACTTACCACAAAGAGACAAAAAGTGACACAACACAACAACAACCAAAAAACAAACAACAAAAAAACCCACAGCTGTGCAGAGACAACTCAACTTCAGAGACACTGAAAAACCACAAACAGAAAACAGCCACGGACACACAAAAGGACTTTAGACACAATATGAACACAAAGAGACACAAAAAGGCCCAAAGGGACGAAAAACAACCACGAACAGACAAAAGATAACTTCAGCATCATAAAATGACAAAGAAACACAGAATAGTCCCAGACACACAAAAGGACTTCAGACAAAGAATGACCAGACAGAGACACAAAATAACCACAATAGGACACAAACAACCAAAATGAGACACAAAATATCCACAGCGAAACACAATATGACCACAAAAAGAGGCACAAAATGACTACAAAGACACACAGAACCCCGAGACAAGAAATCAGTACAGGTGACACCAAATGACCATAAAAAGACATAAACAGACATGGCAAGTGTCCATATTGGCATCTCTGCTGTGAGTGAGTGGGTGAATGAGAAACACATTGCACTACATAAGTGTCTTTAAAATTAAAAGGCGCGCATGTCACTACGTACCTATGCCTACCCAACTGACAAAAGTAAGTGTATTACTCAAGGTGTCATATGGTCCACTACTGGAGGTATGCATGAGGATTTGGTTGATTTTTTTATTTTTTTTTGGCCACTTCAGGGCAGCAGAACAAGCTGTAAACACTCATACTGCCATGCCACCTTATAAAGTTGGATTAGCTCTTAGTGACCTGTAACCTACAGAGCAACATTACCATTTTAGATATTTTATTTTATTTATACTGTATTTGATCCTTTTTTAATGTATGACATTAATACAAGGTGAGAGAGAAATGTCTTTCGGTTACTCTGTGTGTCCTGGATATATCGTGCAATTGATAATAAAAATCTTCTATTATTTTGAACAATGCCTTCTACGTCGGTATTGTATGCCAGCTGCATGCTTGCCTGTATGTATGTTTGTGTCTCATATGTGTATGAGTAGTCATCTATTAAGCTGTTCATCCTTAATACCTTGATGTCTGTGGGGGATATGTTGTTTTATGTTCTGATGTAATATTGAAATTAAATAAAAGTGTTTATTTAAAAAAACAACAAAAAAACCTTCTATCATTTATTTGAAGTTTAGGCTCATTTTAATAATCAAGTCCGATATTCACTGTATCTTTATAGAATAGAATAGAATAGAATAGAATAGCATAGAATAGAATAGAATAGAATAGAACTTTATTTATTTAACTTTAGTTGCTCAGTGTTTCATTGTGTTCACCAGTTTGTTGCTAATTGTGTCTGTCTGCTATTAATGTTATGAAGCATTCAGGCTACATTAATTAAATGCTAATTTGTTCCCCATTATATTAATATATTATAGATAAAAATCCATCTTAAATGTACTTGTTACAGGGTACGCAACATTACTGCTTAAGAAAGCCCAGTGTTTGGACCGAAACAGAGACTCCAAAATAGACTTCTAGGCTTTGTAAAGATGAAGGTGAATCAAAAGACAAGCACCTGTGAGTCACAGAGATTGGCCCTCTTTGCTTTACAGTTATTTGATCCATTATGAGTCTAAAAACATTGAATTGTACAGCTTTAAGCATGACACATACCTGTGTTCCATCCCTGGTTCTTTGCACATGGAAAACAAATTCTCTGTAGAGCTCCCTCAGCTGCAGGTTCTCTCTGAGCACTGGAGCTGCAGGGAGTCTGAGCTGCAGGACCAAACAGTTCCCACAGCCAGACACCGACAAATCAGGGGGGCCCAACACAGCTATGGGTAGAAATGAACTCACTTTCAATCAAATGGAAAGAGCTTCAATGAAAAATAAATTATTACAAAGATAGCTGACAGTGAGGAGAGAATTGGCCACTTTCCCTTTTGTCTTTTCTCTGAGAACAGTGACAAAAAGTGATTCCCCATCAGTTGGACTTGCACCTCAAGGATACTAACTGTAGGTGCAATGTTTCACTCAAATAATAATAAAAAAATATATATTTGATTAAAATTTGGATTAAAAAAAAGCCTGGAATACAGCAACTGGTAGTGTGGTGATTAAGAGTTCATGAAAACAAAAGCCATCACATAAATTGGCTAAAACAGCAAAAAATTGCTTTGGCCAGTATGATCATGAAACAGATATTAAACTGCATCCTGTGTGCTATTAAAAAAGACCCCAAAACTCTTTACTTTAACAAAATATTTGCAACTCTTCAACTTCCAAATGTAAGTAAGCAAGGTCGCTGGTGTCTCACTGTCTGACACAGGCTGAAAGCGTCCTGACACAGTCCAGTTGGATGTCTGGCTGGGTGTGACGGCCTGGACACGGGCTCTGTAGTGATCGAACGGGTCCTTGAATGCTTTGGTTAGGTTACACGTCTGTCCCGCCTTCAGCTCCAAACAAGCAGCCACTGGTCTCCACGAGTTCTTCCTCCAGTGTGAAAGAAAACACACCAACAAAAACTAATTATTCACAGCAGAAATAAAAGGCACAATTGGGGGCTATGTACATCATCCTGATTTAAGAAGCTAAAATCTATTCTAAAATAGTTGTAATACACAGGTAGTCAGTAATTAAAAGTCTTCAGAAACAAAAATGAAACGTATGAACAGAGTATAACAGAGCAAGGCAGATTAAACTTACAGCAGCTGACATTTATTTAGCAGTCGCATTTGTTTGCTAAATAAATTTAAACTGAATCTTCAAAAATTTGCTTTAGAAAAATAACTACGTTCAATGTTAGGCATAAATATCTGGTGTAAGATTAAATGAGATAAAATGAGACACAAAATGCCCACAAAGCAACATAAAATAACCACCAATCGACACAAATGACCCAAATGAGACAAAAAAAACCAACTAAAGAGACACAAAATGAACTCAAAGACATAAAATGACCACAAAGAGAAACACAATGGACAAAAAAGAACAAAACAAACAAACCAAGAAAAAACAACCCAAAAAAGACAAATCACCACAGATATGCAAAACAATCAAAAATACACAAAATGACTACAAAGATACACAAAAAAAACAAGATGAGATACAAAATGGCTGAAGTGCATGCATGGCATCCCTGCTGGGTGAATGAGAGACACACTGCAACGCAAACGCTAAGGTAACGCAAGCACAACATAAGTGCATTTACTATAAAGACGAAACCAATCACAAACCTAGACACATTTTAGACAAAACCATTTTAATAACTGTGGTTTAAAAGCCTTTTTGACACTTTATGACTAATGCTGTGGGATTTTATGAATTGAACAAAAGACAAAACTGATTTTTTAGAGTTAAATAAAAGACAAACCCAGAGATATGTTTAGAAAGGTTAAGTATGTGTGGAAGTGAGACTAAAATGTGATGTGCAAAATTTAAGCATAGATAAATAGTGTGATTAGATTATATGATGTGTAAACAAACCGACATTTATGAATATACTGAACAAACCCAACCCAGTGAAACTCTACAGAAGCCTGAAGCTTGTTTTCCGGCCGGGTACAACCAGCCTGATGCGTTTGTGCTCCGCTCGCGCTGCGGTTGTGTGTGAGTTCAGATAAAAGCACCGTGGCCTTGAAACGATACGATGAAGATGGTGAACGGTAAGACCGCGAGAACCCCGTCGCTGAGCAGGAGAAGGGAAGCAGCGCAGCTACAGAGTTTTAAACTGCACAGTGCTATGCAGAAATAATGCTGACTACCAACTTTCTGTTTGGTTTTAAAGAAAATGTGTTGAGTTTTTCTGGGGAAAGAGGGGAGTTGGCAAACGTGTAAAAGGACATGTAACACATTGTTAGCCAGCCGAGTCTTGAGATTTTGCTCATGTTTGTTCATGCAGCCTCTGTATACAACAAACTTTATTCACATCAGACTCTGAAGACAGTTTGAAAATGTTTTTCTTCTCGTATATCTTTTTTGAGGACCTGAAGTACTTCGCTAAGGATTGTTATTTCAGCTATATGTTTTGACAATGCTGCCTGATCAGCACTGGCCTGTAAGCAGGCAAGCCGAGTCATGACACTAACACATTGTTAAAGGACAATAGTTTGCAGAATGCCAGAAAAAAGTATGTTACTCAGAGTGTCATGTCCAGTAAAGGCATACAGTCTGTGTTACCATATTTGACAGAAATCTCTGTATTAATTTGTTTTCTGACCATTTGATGAACAAAATGTCTATTATGCTGAGTAAATGAAACGTTAATTCACAAAACTGGTTACAAATGTTATTATTATTATTATTATTTTTATTTTCTTTTTTAAATTGTCAATTCTTATCATTTATTCACCGGTAATTTTCTATTGCTGTTGGCTGAAACCTCATTGGGAGGCACAAAAAACATCTCTATGCACACACATATTCATTTTGACCACACAGTGAATATTCATGAGTTTTAGTGTGTATTCATTCAGTGCCACCAACGGCTCAGTAAAACAGCTCATGCTGTTAAATGGGTTGTCATGAATTTTGTTGTTGTTGTTGTTGATGTTCCCATTCGGATGAATTGCAGTATTGTTGGTGAACATCAGACTTTTTGTCTTTAACAGTCTTTGTATTCTACTGAGATGCTAACTAAGAACATGGTAAACAATACACAGGATGAAACAAGTGAGTACACTCCTATGCATCCATCCACCATCCATTATCTATACACTGCTTAATCCTCACTAGGGTCCAGCTGACTCAGGGTGAAGGCAGGTTCACCTGGACAGGTAACCAGTCTATCACAGGGCTACACTTAGAGACAGACAACCAAGCACACTCACATTCACACCTACGGACAATTTAGAATCACCAATTAACCTCAACATGTTTCTGGACTGTGGAAGGAAGCCGGAGAACCCGGAGAGAACCCACGAGAACATAAGCTAGTAAGTCATGAATACAAGCTAATCTACTCATGTGGTAGGAATACTTCAGAACTTTCCTGCTAAGAATCTCAGGGTGTCAGGATTTCTTCAGATTTAGAGCAATCCAGTGACACTTGTTATTACATCCAACGGTACATAGCAAAGAGAAGCATTTGATAGCTAATTCAGCAGACTTCATTTTCCAAAATATAAACATGAAGACCTAAAGAAATGACTTAGTCCATGGCAACATTATGCTTCTTGTTTCTTGTAAAAGTTAACATGTGTTCATACAAGGTACAGTCTGATTCACTGGATGTAGGCTGTGTGTATAATCTTGCCATTGGCTAGGCATTCCAAAACACCGCAGCTACTACGATTATGATTGGGTAAAAGTAATATAAACAAACCAGAGCTCCCCCCAATGTTTTCTTCATCAAATTTATATTACCATTTTAGCACCACTAAAGTTATTAACAAATCTGAAATCTCGTAGACCATTTAACATGAAATGCATTCCACAAATCAGGTGCACTGGTCAGTTCTGTATTACTGGATCAACTGAGAGCCAAATGAATACAGTGGCAATGATGCCAAACCACACTGATCAAAGCTTTGTGAGACAAAGCAACAAGTTCATTTAAGCAGAATTATCGATGAGAACTAACAGGATCGTACTTGATTATTCTGGCAATTGTCCTCCTGATTTGTTTCTACAAAAATCAGTGCATGTGTTTGAAAAGTACTAACTGGGGTGTCAAACAATTGTCCTGAGCCTTTTCTTCCTTTCTATCTAAACTTCTTTGAATACCTGGAGCGGAGGACTTGAACAGTGAATGTGGCGTCAGAGGGGGTTTGGGGGCCTGGCAGGAATCTCAGTGTGTGCTCCATGTTGAAGGATGAGATGGAAATGTTGAAAGGTGCAGGAAGGAAAACACACAACACTGAAGAGGGGAGAGAGTACGACAAAAAAACTTCAAAACTTTTCATTTGTTTCTTCAATTTTCAGAAATATTGTTTTGTCTTTTTTTGTAAATCTGCACTCTTCTCAAAGACAAATTTCCAGTACTTAAATGACTATCACTGACCTAAGAACAGCAGAAAGTTTAACAGACCTGATCTACACTTTACAACTCCTACCAACATTCACACATATACACAGTGCCATGATAAATGCACACATCTCAGTTCAGAGTAACAATAATAATAGTAACAGTAATAATAATGCTCCTTCATAAAACACTAAGTTCACCAGTACACAAATAGTTCAGTGCTAACATACACTCATGGCACATCGTTGTAATTTTAAACCCCCAACCTCTTCCCCACACTCATTCCAGAGAGCATTACCAAGGTGAAAATGCAGAAGCAACAGCAGCATCCACAGCCCCATCGTCTCTCCATGTACTGTGTTATGGCTCACAGTCAAACGTCCTGCACAAGCTGATAAGGCTCCTGTTTAAAGTTAGAGCAAACACCATATAGAGGAAGGGATGGGAGGGAGCTGGGGGTATGAGTGTGGGGGTGGGGACTTGAACACACTTACAACACAATGCTGAGTTTCTATTTCCCCAGAAGTCCCTCCCTATGCAGTCGACTGTTTTAGTCCTGCAGTTTCACTAGGTGTCGTTTCACAGTCACTGGCGCACACTGGGGTCAGCAAACATGATTTTCACTTGTGTCAGATCAGTGATTTGAGTTTATTCTCTTTATAATGTCAACTTCAAGAGTTTGTACACAGCAAATATTGTTGTAGTTTTTACTGCAATAATACACGACAGAACAAGACTTATCAGCTAAAATGCGACTATTTGTTCTAAAATGCATGTACATGTTTATGGCTGAACACTGAGTAAAGTTACTGAGTAGCTTAAGAGTTATTACATAGTAAGATACCATACTTCATTGGCTCCCTGTAAAATCCAGGATAAAATTTAAAATCCTGCTTTTAACATATAAAACTCTTAATGACCAGCTCCATCTTACCTTAAAGACCTTATTGTACCGTATCATCCTAACAGAGCCCTTTGCTCTTTAGACTGCAGGTCTACTTGTAGTTCCAGACTTTCCAGAAGCAGAATGTAGAATGTGTCAGGATCTGCCTAGCTCCCTCCCCTTTCACTCAGCTTGGCTCTCTCTCTCCTGTCTCTGGTCCTCTGTTCCTGATTACAGGTATTGGAGACAGCTGCAGGGATCGGCTCACCTGTTCATAATCACCTCACTCCCATAAAAGCCCAATTCATTCCACCACTCTCTGTCAGACCACAGACATGCATTTCTCCTGATCCCCGGTCTGTCTCCTGCCTGCCTTTCCTGAGCTGCTGCCACCTAGACCGGGTCCAGTGGACCCCCCTGCAACTACAACATACTCGCTGCCCTGATCCTGCCACAGCCTGCTCACCTGACCCCAGATACCCTGAGCCTGTCTGTCCCCTCAGTTTATTCCCCTTTTCTGTGAGTAGCCCTGTTTTATTGGCTTTATCTTAGTTAATACTAACCCATCACTACTTAGCAGTTTTCCCTAGTTTCCCTTTTGGTGTGTTTAGAGTTTTTTCTTGGTTTTTGTAGTTTTTTCCCCTTTTTTTGAATTAGGTCTGGTTTACCCCACTCTGTTTTCCACTCTCAGTTTTAGCATTAAAGCTTGTATTTGTAGGATACGCTAATGAGCTACACTGCTTTGAATTATGTTTCAATTCTTAATTTGTTCCAACGTCCTTTTTTTTACCACACCAGGGTCACAGCTGAAAGTTTTAAAAAAAGTCAGATATGCCCGAAGTATATAGGTTATACATCCTCAGATTGTCTTATTGATATCTGATTGATTATCTGATATGATCAGTGATCATATTATGTTTTATCATAAACGAATGAACTGATGCATTCACACAGTCAGCAGTTTTCTGCCAACATTCCTTCCTGGCTTTGGCCGCTGCAACGCTGCTGCTTTTTGCTCCTATGTTGTTTTTATATCATTCTTCAGATTTTGTAAAGACATATAGTCTTTACAAAATGCTCCTCGGTGGTAAAGTGGGCCGCTCTGCAGCAAGACTTGTCCATAGTCATGATTGGTCAGATGCCGATAACGCCGCCCATTTTATGTGCATGCGCTCATACACAGATGAGACAACCCTGGGTTGACCTGCCGAGTTGATAACCACCGTCGTAGGACTGGTTATCCTGAGTGTGATTGTTAGGGTTAGTCAAGCCGGATCGCTGAAAGATATCCTGGGTATGTTGATCTCGCTTCGTAGTACAGGCCCAATGTAGGAGCCATACTAGTATTAGACATTCATTCATTAGGTGACAGGTAACACGCAGCATCAGCACATGGGTGGTGGGTGTATCGCTGTGGGCGTGTGTGTGTCACGAAGTTTGAAAAGGTGCACCTACTGATTCACAGCGTTTTAATGTTAGGATGAATGGATGAGGAAGTGGGGTGAGCCCGGCGGTAGTCGTAATTTCTGTTGACCGCGACCGCATATTATATTTTGTGCAGTCTGTTTGTGTACCTTTATTCTTTGGATTGGATATGGAGTTGAACCTGCTGGATGAAAGGAATAAACACTATCGCTACTGACAGAAGTGCTTTGGAGTGGTCTCTTGGAACGCGCGTCGGACAGATAGCCTAAACCCGAGTTTAGCCCACGGCAGCCCTCAGTTTAGTCCAGTTTTGCCGCAATATTTTCGTCAACAGAAAAGACTTTTAGAGACCTTGTTCCTTGGAACTATTTCCACTGGAGCCACTTTGGATCTGCTTCAACTGCATCAGCGAAGGAAATTGGTGGACATGAGAGACGCTACTGAAGCGCAGCGCGGCCTATACATCATTCATCTACAGCCTGGTACTACGTTCATTCATAAATTCGGTGGAGCTGAGGTATGGACGCACACACAACAGATGCATGCGCGTGAAGACGGACTTTTAATGACATCACCGTAAAGAGTAAAGATGGAGTCAAATGGATCTAATACAAACACTGGTGTCAAAGACAGATGAGAAAAGACCATTGAAGCTCACTGTTAAAGCTTTAGAGAATAAGATTGAAAGGCTGCAAAAAGAATGTCAAATAAAAGCTCATGAAAGTAAAGCTGTAATAAAAACTATCAAAGAACGTACGCAAACAGAAGAAAATATTCAGCTTGTTCAGTCTTATTCTGATAATCTAAAAACATTAATTGATTATGTAACTCAGCTTCATCAATCTGTTATTCCCCTGCTTCCATTGGATGAACAAGAGAAGCAAAATAAGTGGTTTTCAAGCATTTATAAACACAGCAGTGCATTTCTAGATGAAGTTGGAAGTTGGATGTCAAATGCAGAAGGACATTGTGAAGCAGTTCCCATTACAGAAGAAACTTCTCAGCCACAGCAGTCTCAGACATCTTGTATTAAATCTGCTGTGGAAAACAATGCAGCTGAATCATGTGTTTCTCACAATTCAAAGTGTGATGATGGTAATGTTGTGAATGAAGATGATGTCAAGCCAGGTGACAGTGTTTCTAATGTTGGCAGCAGAGGATCAAGGGGAAGCCGCTCATCTAAGGGTTGGTCATCTTTATCTTCAACATCTTCAGCACGCATTAAAGCAGAAGCAGATATTGCTGCATTGATGACATGACAGAAAATGTTGAAGCAAAAGCATGCTTTAGATGATCAAGTGAAACAGTTCAGGAAAAAGAGAGAAGAATTGAATTTGGAGATTGAAATAGCAGCATCAATGGCTAAAGTAAAGGTGCTACAGCAGGGTTCTGTTTGTTCTCAAGCAAGTGCTTCACTGAATGGATCAGATGGAATGAATTCCTATTTTGAGAAAGAACAAGGGAAATCTCAAACATTGAATGCAGATGCTGAAACATTTGTGCCTACAGCAACTGGACAAAAATCTCATGAAAGCGTTTCAGCTTGGCAGTCCTATTCACATGTAGGTGCTCGCCCTAAAGTAAACCAAGTTGGACAGACTCAAGTCACATTTCGAGAACAAGTGAATTCAAAGATGCAGCGAGATGGAGTCCAAAGCAAGAATCAGTCTTGCCCACAATCAACACATCAAATGCATTCATCATCGATTGGTGAAAATAAGCAATTAATATCAGTGTTGGAGAGACAAAATGAAATTACATCTTTATTGATCAATCAACAGTCTTCAGTTTCACTTCCAAGGAGAAACATTCCAATATTTGATGGTGATCCACTCCACTACAAGACCTTCATGAGTGCCTTTGAACATAGCATTGAAGCTGAAACACACAGTGCAAAGGATTGTCTGCATTTCCTGGAACAATACACTAGAGGTCACCCTGGAGAGTTGGTGAGAAGCTGTGTTCACATGCCTAATGATTCTGGATATGCTAAAGCAAAATTGTTCAAGAACATTTAGGCAGCTCACTGATAATAATCTCTGCTTATATGGATAAAGTGCTTTCCTGGCCTGTTATAAAATCTGAAGATGTAAAGGCTTTGCAATTATACAGTTTTCTACTAAGAGAATGTTGCAATGTTATGGGGAACACTGAATTCATGCACGAGTTGGATGTTCTTGGCAATATGCAAATAATTATCAGGAAACTACCTTACAAATTGAGAGACAAATGGAGGAATGTGGTTTGTGATACACAGGAGAAATTTCACAGAAGGGCTGTACTTCATGATATTGTTCAGTTTATTAAGAAGCAAGTAAAGATCGCCAGCGACCCACTGTTTGGTGATATTCAAGATTCTTCTTCTACAGCAAGGAAGGATGATGGAGCTTCTAAAATCACAGCCACTCTCAAAGATTAAAGGAAGTAGCTTTGCTACCACAGTTGGAACAACAGAGAAGAAGGGGGATCCTGGAATGAGAAGAGAGAGAGACTTACCTGGTGTTAAGAGCTGTCTTTTTTTGTGGATCAGGACATTGTTTGGACGTGTGCCCTGTACTGGAAAGGAGAGCGCATGTGGAGAAGATGAGCTTTTTGAAAGAAAAGGGGGTGTGTTTTGGTTGTCTGTGCACTGGGCACATGAGCAAAGGCTTCAGAAGATGGCTTCACTGTAAAGTGTGTGGAGCGAAACATCCCACAATGTTGCATGTCTTCTCCAGGGGAAAGGAAGTTGCTCCGCTCCAGAAGGAGGAAGCTGAGACAACAAGTGTGAGCGCCTCAATTTCAGTCCAATCTAGTGGTTTAACTGGGGCCGGTGAGCATGATTGTGTTCTGTCAATTTTGCCGGTTCAAGTCAAGTCCAAGAAGCGCCAGAGAACAATAATAGCTTATGCCTTCTTGGACCCTGGCAGCTTTGTATCATTCTGCACTGAGGATCTCATGAGGAAATTGAATCGTGCTGGAAGAAGAACCAGCATCCTTCTGCGAACAATGGGTCAGGAGAAGGTGGTTGGAAGTAATGTGGTGTCAGACCTGGAGATTGCTGGACTGGATGAAGACGTCTTTTGTGAATTACCTGACTTGTACACAAAGAATAGCATGCCGGTACATCCTGGTAATGTCCCCCATCAGGAAGATCTGCTAAGATGGCCA